AAAGAGTCCAATGAATTCTAAGATCAATCCCATTCACAATAGCTACAAAAACATTTAAATACCTTAGAATAAATTTAACCAAGGGGGTCAAAAATCTCTATGGCAAAAATTACAAAATGTTAAAGAAAGAAATAGAAGACAAAATAAAAAAAAATGGAAAAATCGTCCATGTTTGTGGATTGGAAGAATATAAAAATGTCCCTACTAACAAAAGCAGTTCACAGATTCAATGCAATACCAATCAAAACACCAAGAACACTCTCCTCAGATCTAGAAAAAAATTATGCTAAAATTCAAATGGAAACACAAGAGACCCCAAACAGCTAAAGCAATCTTATACAATGAAAAGCTGTAAGCATCATAATACCAGCTTTCAAGGCATACTACAGGGCAGTTATAATCAAAACAGCCTGGTACTGGCAAAAAAAATAGACGAGTAGACCAATAGAATGGAATAAAAACGCTGTGAAATTAATCCATGCATTAATAACCAAATTATCTTTCACTCTTCAACAAATGGTGCTGGGAAAACTGAAAGTTTTCTATGTATGAAGTATGAAATAAGAGCCCTACTTTACACCTTACACATAAATCCATTCAAAATGGATCAAGGACCTAAATCTACAATCCAATAACATCAAATTACTAGAGAACACTGGAGAAACTCTGCAAGATATTCGCATAAGCAGTCTTCTTGGAAAAGACCCCAGAAGCACAGGCAATCAAAACCAAAATTGACAAATGGGATTATATCAAGCTGAGAAGCTTCTGCACTGCAAAAGAACACAGCAAAGAGGCAACTGACAGAATGGGAGAAAATATTTGCAAACTATGCAACTAATACAGGATTAATACCTACAATCTATAAAGAACTCAAGAAACTCAACAACAACAAAACAATCCAGTTAAGAAATGGGCAAAAGGGGTCAGTGTTGTCGGCATGTTGAAATGAAAAATATCTAGGAATAACTGCTGCTAAGTATCAATTGCTTTTTGCTTCTGTACTGTACTGCTTGCTCAATGACTTAATGTGGGATGCCCAGCATAAGAAAAGGTGGGGGGATAATTGTACCTCCATGACAGGCTTCACAAACTCCAAAAAGACAGGAATGCCCAATTCTCAGAAAACAAAACTTAGTAAATACTTCCTGAAATTAATGTTCTCCCACTTCCCTGTGTGACCACTCCCTTGTGTGAAGCATAGTCCCCAGACTGCTGAGATACACCAATAAATGCTCAAATTTAGGTAATTGCCATATAAAGAATAAGGAACTAGAATACGTGTGTGATGACAGATGTACTTGTTTACTCAAGCGTATAAAAACGCTGAGAAGGAGAGAGGCAGAGCTTCTCACTCCCGCACTGCACTATGTTGTATGTGTCGGTGGGAGCCCCAGCTAGCTGGCAATAAAACAATAAATCCTCTTGCCCTTGCATCTGTGACTGTATTCTGTGGGTTAATTGGGAAAGGTCTTGGACCCCATAATTCAACAGGCACAGCAGGTAAAGCTGCTGCTTGCAGTATTGGCAACCCATATGGGGGCTGGTTTGAGACCCAGCTGCTCCACTTTCCAATCCAGCTCTCTGCTATGGCCTGGAGCCAGAAGCTCCTGGCTCCTAGCTTCGGATTGGTCCAGTTCTGGCTGTTGTGACCATTTGGGGAGTGAACCAGTGGATAGAAGATATCTCTCTCCCTGTCTCCCTCTCTCCCTCTCTCTTGCTCTCTCTGCCTCTCTGTAACTCTGCCTTCCAAATAAATAAGTAAATCTAAAAAAAGAAAAAAGAAAAAAAAAAAAAGAAAAAGGAAGGAAGAAAACAGGCTGTTAGGTTTAAAAAAAAAAAAGGAAATGGACAAAGGACATGAGCAGAAATTTTTCAAAAGAAGAAATTCAAACGGCCATATGTCTATATGAAAAATGCTCAGGATCACCAGCCATCAGGGAAATGCAAATCAAAACCCCAACGAGGGCCGGCGCCGCGGCTCACTAGGCTAATCCTCCGCCTAGCGGCGCCGGCACACCGGCTTCTAGTCCCGGTCGGGGTGCCGGATTCTGTCCCGGTTGCCCCTCTTCCAAGCCAGCCCTCTGCTGTGGCCAGGGAGTGCAGTGGAGGATGGCCCAGGTGCTTGGGCCCTGCACCCCATGGGAGACCAGGAAAAGCACCTGGCTCCTGGCTCCTGCCATCGGATCAGCGCGGTGCGCCGGCCGCAGCGCGCCGGCCGCGGCGGCCATTGGAGGGTGAACCAACGGCAAAGGAAGACCTTTCTCTCTGTCTCTCTCTCTCACTGTCCACTCTGCCTGTCAAAAATAAAAAAAAATAAATAAAAAAAAAAAAAAAAAAAAAACCCCAATGAGGTTTCTCCTCACATCAGTTAGAATGGCTCTCATACAGAAATCTATAAATAATAAATGTTGGCAAGGATATAGGGGGAAAGGTACCTTAATCCACTGTTGGTGGAAATGTAAACTTGTGCAGATAATGTGTAAGACTGTATGAGGAGATACCTCAGAAATCTGAATACAGATCTACCATACAATCCAGCCATCCCACTCCTGGGAATTTACCCAAAAGAAATGAAATCAGCATATGAAAGTTATCTATACCCCCATGTTCACTGAGCGCAAGTCACAATAGCTAAGACATGGAATCAAATCAGATGTGCATCAACTGATGACCTGATAAAAAATTATGGTATATATACACTAAGGAGTAGTACACAGTGGGAAAGAAAGAAAGAAAGAAAGAAAGAAAGAAGAAAAGAAGAAAGAAAGAGAAAGAAAGAAAGAAAGAAAGAAGAAAGAAAGATGGGCCAAGGAGGGAGGGAGGGAGGGAGGGATGGGAGACCCAGGAGAAGCTGAGGGAGGGAGGGAGGGAGGGAGGGAGGGAGGGAGGGAGGGAGGGAGGGAATTGTCTTTTGCAACAAAATGGATGCAACTGGAAACCATTATACTTAGTGAAATAAGCCAGTCTGAAAAAGACAAATTCTATATGTTTTCTCTGATCTGTGGTAACTAACAGAGTACCTAAAAGGTAATCTATGGGAATGAGATGGACACTTTGAGATTTGATGATTATTTACAGTCTTTGTCTTGACTGTTGAGGAACAGTGCTTTTTTCTTTATACTATTTGTTGAACTGTTAATGTAGTATAGGGTTAACCTTTTGAGTATAAAGTAAACTGAAAATAGATATTTGTAAAAAGTCAGAGAGGAGAGCCAGCACTGTGATGCAGTAGGATAATCCTCCACCTGTGGCACCAGCATCCCATATAGGTGCCGTTTCTAGTCCCGGCTGCTCCTCTTCTAACTCTCTGCTATAGCCTAGGAAATCAATAAAATATGGTCCAACACTTGGGCCCCTGCACCTGCATAGGAGACCTGGTGGAAGCTCTTGGCTCCTGGTTTCAGATCGTCCCAGCTCTGGTTGTTGCAGCCTTTTGGGGAATAATTCAGTGGATGAAGACCTGTCCCTCTGTCTCTCCCTCTCAGTGTCTATAACTCTACCTCTCAAATAAATAAATAAAATCTTAAAAAAAAAAAATCAAGAGTGGGAATAGGAGAGGGAGGAGGAAGAAGGGTGGGAGCACAAGCAGGAGGGAGAGTTGGATGGGAAGGATCACTATGTTCCTAAATCTGTATACACAAAATACATGAAATTTGTATATCTTAAATAAAATTAAAAAAATCAATGACAAGATTTTGTAAAATTTCCTTGAATTTGTGGAACCTCCTCATCCCATTTAGTATAAAAGGAGGAAATTATTTTCAATAAAAATAAATAAAATAAAATATAAATAAAAATAAATCAAGCGGTTTAAAAAAGAAAGAAAAGCTCTTTCCAAAGGGCCTGTTTTCATTCTACCCTCATACATGCCCCAAAAGTATAAAAATATCCAGGATTTTAACATTTTCATTAAGAAGTGAATTTCTGATACAAATTTACCTGGTTAATGTTTATCATACTTTTTAAATATATTTAGGATTTTTATTAATTTTATTGTGATAATTGTAATAGTAACTCAATCCAGAAGGACAATATTCAGAGCTTTATTGTAAAAAGAAATAAAGAGAAATCACTACATTTATCTACATGTATCTGTGTGTATATACACACACACACACTCACAGAGGTAATTCAAAAAGTTTACATAAGGTGCATATTACGAAAAACATTACATGGATTTCAATTTTTTCCGCACCAAAACAAGCTAATCTTTTCATCCCATTTTCATGCAACCCTTTTGAAGAACCCGTGTCCACACTGCAAAAAAAAAAAAAAAGTATGATCCAGTGAACAATAAGAAATATGCAAATATAACAATGAGATAACACTTCGTAGGGGAAGTTAAACAGAAATCAGATTCACAGAGGAAAACAGATGACGTAAATTTCCCAATTTTAAGGAACTATTTTAAATGAATGACAGTAGATATTAAATCACTACAGCATTCCATTGGATGAGTTTCCAAGAGTGATGTAAAATTTTTAAATTACAAATATTAATATTTACAGTAAGACATTGTATTCGAAAAATCTAACTGTGGGATGAAACAAAAATTAAAGATAACTTAATTCTTTGAAGAGTTGGGAGGTGGGGTGGGGTGTGACCTCTGACAAGGTGAATTCTGAAACGCCCTCTAGACGTCTCAAGTCCAGGTAGTTCCGCTTCAAGTAAAGCTACCGCCAGCTCAAAACCCTGCTCCCTTTCCTACTCTAGCGTTCTCCGCTGCAGCACAGCACAGCGCTCCCTCCGCCACCCTTTAGACACCAGCGACCCTAGCTCCTCCCCGAACCCGGTTCCCAGTCCCCGCCGTCCGGCGCAGGCGCGTTTCGCCTCTTTCCCACCCGGGGTGCTGTGTCATGGCCGAACGGAAGTGCCCTCCTCCTCCCTGCACCTCACCCCGGGAAAGGGCATCCTCAAGAAGGCAGGCGCTTTCCGCAGCTCTCCCCCTCCTCCTCCCATTACACTAGTTTGACCTGCCGTTACAGGGGGTCCCCTACCCTGCACTCTCCCGAACACTTCGTAGTCCACGGATTTCAGCGGGCCGGCGGTAGACATGGCGGCGGCAAGCCCTCTGCCGAGAAGCCGGAGCGGGGTTCGGCGCGCGGCGACTGTAGCGGCCGCGAGAGAGAGGAGGCACATGGGACCGCTGGGCGCACCCCGCGCCTGTCACCGGCCCGGGACGCGAGCGCGCCGGGGTCACGCGTCGAAAGATGGCAAATGAGACGGCAGGCCCGGCAACCGGACGCCAGGAGGGAAGAGGTTGTTGGGCCCAGGCGTCCGAAGCCTCTGTCCCTGCGCCGGTGCAGCCGCACTGGCTTCCCGGGAAGGATGCGCTGCCTCCGCCCTAACTCACCGGGGTTCCTTTCTCAATGTTTGGAAATAAAAATCGGATGTGCCCTGCCCGAAAATGCGTCCCGGCCTCCGCTAGCTTTATTAAAGTATAATTGATGAGAATTGTATACTATTCGAATCTGTGGTGTACAAGATTGTTTTCATATGTGTACATGTGTATTGTAAAATTATAAGCTAATTAACATCCATCACCTCACATACTTGTTTGTGGCAAGAACATTGAGATTTAATTGTCAATTTTCAAGTGTATGTTATTAACTATAGTCCCCATCCTCTGCAATAGATCTATGTAAATTATTCATGGTAATTGAAACTTTGTGCCCTTGAACTAGTATCTCCCTATTTCCCATTCCTTCTTCAACCTCAAGATTTGCTTTTGAATTGCCAAGATAGAAATACTACCAATGTGCTCTTCCATGGATGAATGGACAAAAAACGTACGGAAAAGAAAACCATTTAGCATTGAAACAAGGTGTTTCTGTCAAAGTGACAATATGATGAATGTAAAGGAAACAAATATTACAGAGTTCACATATATACTGATTCCAAGGTAGTTAAAATCATAGAATAGAATAGTGTATATCAGAGTGTTGAGGGGTAGAACACATTGGTCAATAAATTCTGGTGTTGTGTTTTAGATTATGGAGATGTTAGTAGCATTGCTATGGCTGGATTTTAAATGTGTTACCATACAGAAATAGCAATTTTATGAAGTAATTATTATGGTACTTGGCCTGATAATTCCACAAAGCCTATTTTTATCAAACATTACATTGTGATAGCATATTATTTATAAATTTAAACAAAAATTTAAAAACTCACAGATTGTAGAATTAACTTATGAAAAACAATATCTAATAATATATTGTGGTCTGGAGATACATTGAAAGTTAAATCAGTCTGGAGATACATTGAAAGTTAAATCATGAAAATGGCTATATGTAAAATAACAAAAGAGCTGGCTATTGTAGTAAGGACAGAACAAGCACTAAAAAATGTTACTACAGATAAGTAGGGACATTTATGGGTAATAAAGAAGTTAATCAACCTGAATAACTTTATAATTGTAGATATGCAAGTATGTAACAAAAGAGCAACATTAATTGAAAAAATGACAAAATCAAAGGGAGTAGTAGACTGGTGAAGACTATTATTAGAACACAAGGATCTCTTTCAGTAATTGATTGAAATTTCCAAAAAAGCTTGCAAAATATCAGGCAGGCTATAGAAGATAGGAACCTATTGAGAGAACCTCACAGTATAGTTGAACAAGAAAACATACTTGCTGTTGAAATGCACATGGATTACTGTATGTAGAAAAACCTTATGCTAGGTCACAATACAATGTTTAAGACATAATTGATCACCCAAGGCTCTTGTCATGAGCTGTCAAGGCTATGGAAGCCTCTTGAGTTCACAAACTCTGACCTTACTTAGACAAGGCCATAGTCAAAGTGGAAGAACTCTCCTCCCTTCAGAGACCAGAATGTTCTCAACCAGCAACAGAGTGAGTTACTCTTTACTTTTCATATAAAGTTTATGGAAAGGTCATGTATCCATCACCATTAACATTTCTTTTAGATACCCAAGTGCCCTGTAATTAGATGCATATACATTTAGAATAGTGACATCTTCCTGTTGAATTGATCCTTTAATCATTATATATTGTCTTTTTCTCTTTTAATAGTTTTGGTGTTAAAATCTATTTTGTCTGAACTGGCTACACCAGTTCTTTTTTGGTTTCTGTTAGCATGGAATATCTTTTTCCATCCTTTCAGTTTGCATGCATCTTTAGTAATATGTGTTTCTTGTAGGCAGTAAATAGATGGATTTTGTTTAAAAAAAAAAAAAAGATTTGCTTTTGAAATGAAGGACCTGCTAGCTTGGCGGCTGAGGGTATTTGGAGAGTGAATTAATTATAAAATGTTTAGGCCACCGCCAAATCTATCTGTTGATTTTGAGCCAACTCATAAGATGAAATTTGTATCCATTTCAGCTCTTCTGTTAAGTCAGAAAGATATGAATCCATATTCTAAATGAATTGTGATTTTTCTGGAACAAGAAAGTTTAAAAATTTTGAACTTTCTTATGCTAGTTTCTAGAAACAAGGGAAAAAAGGTAATTATTTCACATGTCCCATCATACAGGTTTTTTTATGGTCTTGATTATTGTTCAGCAACATCTCAATTCCTATAAAGTTGAGGCAGTGTATAGTTAAGAGAATTTTATTTCCTGGCAATATATTATAAAATCTTAATTTGGGGCCACCGTCGCCAGTAAAGTCACAGCCTGCAATGCTGGCATCCCATATGGACGCCGGTTTGAGTCCCAGCTGTTCCTCTTTTGATCCAGCTCTCTGTTATGGCCTGGGAAAGCAGTAGAAGATGGCCCAAGTCCTTGGGAGACCTGGAAGAAGCTTCTGGCTTCAGATCAGCACAGCTCTGGCTGTTGTGGCCATCTAGGGAGCGAACAAGTGGATGGAAGACTGACTCTGTCTCTTTCTCTCTCTCTCTCTCTCTCTGCAACTCTGTCTTTCAAATGAATAAATCTTTAAAAAAAAATCTTAATTTAAAACAACCCGCCACTCCAAAGGATCTGGACACTGGTAGATAATCTGCCACCTTCTAGAATTTCAAGATCTTCTACATGTAAGGATTTGCATTTCTCAATTTATTTGTCAGCTTGAATATCTTTACGTATTTCTTTGCATCTGGCCATACAGTTAAAATAATCCACTGCAATTTGATTCCATAGTATATGCTAATTCTACTAAGAAACCATATAAAACTTGGTTAGAATGTGGTTAAATTTTTAAGTAAAATATATTCTATAGATGCTAATTTATAATTTTATATAATGAATGAGGTCTCAGTTTATTACAAAGACCTCACAACATCCCTCTTCCTCTCAGTCTCCCTTCCAGTTCATTCTATGCAAATTATAGAATGGGAGTGGGAGGTGGCATTTGGCCCCACAGTTAAGATGCTGCTTGGGACTCCCCTATGCCATATCAGAGTTCCTAGGAATCTCAACTCTGCTTCTGATTTTAACTTCCTGCTAATGTGCATCCTGAGAAGCAGCAGATGATGGCTCAACTACCTGGGTTCCTGCCATGCATGTGGGAGCCCAGGGTAAAGCTCCAAGACCTATTTCAGCCTGACCCAGCCCTGCTTGTTGTGGATATTTGGAGAGTGAACCAACAAATGGAAGTCAATATCCATCTCTCTCCATATCTATATCTCTCTCCCATTCAAATAAAATAAAAATAATTTTTTTAAAAATTGTGTAATTGAAATAGATTTTTTTATCCTCAAATATCTTCAGAATCTCACTACTGCATTCAGAATAAAACAGTTCTTCAGCCTCCACTAACCTCCTAGTTACCATTTACCTGACAACCCTGCAGGTTACCTACAGTCAAGATATTCTGGATAATTATTCTCTCTGAACAGAGGGGTTTAAAAGAAAAAAAAAAAAAAACTTTGCTCTTGGGTTTGCTTTATCTGGAATACCTCCTCCTACTCCAAAATTGTCCCCTCTCCTGTCCAGTCACCTTTACAAGTGCTCAGCAGCTTTCATCCTAGTTGTTATTTGGTTTGTCTTCCTCTATAGTTCATATGTGTTTTCCAAGTCACCAACTAGGAAGGCTGACATTTTCCTTTCTTAATCAGCCTTTGACTTTTCTCCACATTTACCCTAGAGTATCTCTATACCAATTATTATGTAGCTTTATTTTAATTTTAGATGTGCTATAGCAACAATTGACATTTGCTTAGCTAAAAAATTTACTGTGTCTGCCAACAGCAGAACATTAACAAATGGAAATTTTTGAGTACCATTTCAGCATGAATTGCCAATGATATGTGATTCTAAGATATCAGAAATTTTAAGCAAATCTTCTAATATGTAAGCTAGTTTTAAGTAACAAAAACATCTAGAGAAATTATTGAAAACAGAAAGGGAAAATAATTCATAATCCTAACATTATTATAACAGTTATGTTTTCTCTTCATGTACACATTTTAAATAGTTACAACATGAATTCAGTGTTTATTCTTTGCCATACTGAGTGCTTTCCAATGAATATTTTAACTGGCTGTAACTGTAAATTTACCTACTAAGTACCTGTTGTTAACATATTCAGGCTGGCTCTCATTTTTCACTGCCATAAAAAATAGTGTGAAGCAAATATTCATGCGGAGATTCTTATTCCTATGTTTAAATTAGGAATAGAGTTTAGACTATTTTTAAAATCAAATACATCTGGGGCCGGCACTATGGTGCAGCGGGTTAAAGCCCTGGCCTGAAGCGCCGGCATCCCATGTGGCCGCCAGTGTTAGTCCTGGCTGCTCCTCTTCCAACTCAGCTCTTTGCTATGGCCTGGAATAGCAGTGGAAGATGGCCCAAGTCCTTGGCCCCTGTGCCCACATGGGAGACCCGGAAGAAGCTCCTGGCTCTGGCCATCTGGGGAGTGAACCAGAGGATGGAAGACATCTCTCTCTGTCTCTAACTCTCTCAAATAAATAAAATAAATCTTTAAAATAAAATATATCTAAAGATAATAGCATGTATTGTTTTTGATACATATTGCCAAATTGTTTTTCAAAGAGCCTTACCAATTTAAATGCAAGTGTAATATTACCAGTGCTGTATGATCTATTTGGCTTTTTATGCAAATGTATGCAGACTCTTCACATGTTGCAAATGATTAAATTACATGAAAAATTTGGGTTTTGTAACCTGAACAACAGCTTTGAAATAATCAGATTCTGAGTTATCACTGGTTGAAAGTGAAAGCTAATCAAATCATTACCTGCCTTAAACCCTTTTAAAAATTTTGTTTTTCGCTCTCTTTTTTTTCAGGCGGCCGGCAAGATGGCGGACATCCAGACCGAGCGCGCCTACCAGAAGCAGCCGACCATCTTCCAGAACAAGAAGAGGGTCCTGCTGGGGGAGACGGGCAAGGAGAAGCTCCCGCGCTACTACAAGAATATCGGGCTGGGCTTCAAGACGCCCAAGGAGGCTATCGAGGGCACCTACATCGATAAGAAATGCCCGTTC